CGGAACCGACCGGAACCTCCCAGCATCTGGTGCAAAAGGCACATGGAGAGGTCCCACTCCTCGAGGATCCCAACGAACCTGAGGCTTCAGTGGGCGACACGCGCCACACCGTCGCTTCGCTTCCTTCGGCGCGAAAACTCGCGTCGCTGGCTTTTCTCGCGTCGCTTCCTTCGGCGTCAGGGCGTCTCACTTCCAGGGCGGAGGGGAGCGGTGAAACGGAGGCCAACAAAGTCGTGGAAAAAACTCAGGAACTTGAAGTGGTCCCTGTCGCTGGATTTGGGTGATGCTAAATATAGATCTAAATCTCAACGGCTCGGTGGACTGTGGATCTTTGGAACCGGCCCGGGCTGCCCGGCCTGCACAATGATAGGTATGGTAGTTCACTATGTACTATGTTCACTACCTTTTGTAGCATAGATGGATGCCTTCCCCCTCCGCAAGCAAAGCACAATGGCCCCCGAAACACTGCTAATCCCTACGATTGATCGTTCAGCAGTTCAGCCCAAGAATCAGAGTCCGAACCCCTGCTAGATTCTGTTTTGAATGCCTGGATTCGCACGGAAGAGCTAATGCTCAGCCACTAAGCGACCTGCTTACCATTGATTGTATAGCTTTCTTTGATCCATTTCTTCCTTGTTGGGGCGGTGTTCCCTCATGAAACTGGCCCTTTGGTCCATTGTGATCGTGCTCGCTACGGAAAAACCACCAAGGCGCACGAAGCCCTCTCGCAGGCGTCGAGCTGCTGCATGAGCATCCGCCTGTTTCTCCGATCGGAATCGCACCGGCACGATGGCGCTGCGGGAGGAAGGGAGTTTGGGAACGTTTCGTCATCGTCGATTGAGGTAGACTACACTAAGACAACTGGTAACTTTAACATGGGCCCTCTCTATATCAACGGGCTTTTCAAAGGTCAATTCTCCATGACCAGTGGCATCCGGTGGCACAAAGGAAGAAAGGTCAGGTCACATGGTGCAGATCAGACCTGTTAACAAACAGGTCTGACCAAGGTTGATCTGTTTCATCCCTTTTCCACCTGCTCGGCGTGGAGTGGATGTGTCTATCCCAAATACCAATAGCTACAGTGCGTCATGGTTCACTTGCAGGCCTTCGTGTAAAATAGCGATGTGTTTGCTTATACTGACTGCTACAGGTAATAGATGGTAATAGGATGTAATAGGACATACCCAACCAATCTCAAATCTCAAACAAATTGCCAAGTAATTCTCCACTTGTCCACTGGGACCTTTTTCCCCCTGACGGTCCTGGTGCCGCTCTCTCTTACGCAAACCGGTCCCCCGAGGGACTTCAGGTGCCTCCCGACTTCCGAGTCGTCTCCCGCACCTCGGTCACCTCGCACTTGGGCATTGGATCCACCGACTTGTTGCCCATGAGTTGGCACGTCATCAGCCCTCCCGGTACGGAACGAACGCTGCGAACCACGCGGAACCCGTTTTGGGCAGGTGTCCGGTCACCACCCGTGACGGAAGGAACGAACCGCCAAGCGGCCGGGTGGGTGGAAGTTGTGGTGCACCCCGTGACGGAACGATGCGAGGCACGAGGCGCGGCTGTTGAGAGAGTGATCGCGGAGGCGAGCAGCTTCACGATCATCGGTTTCGTGTTAACCATGCCAAGTTTATTGCAACTTAATATATCTTCTCCATATCTTCTCCCTCGTAGCTTCTTGTTACTAGTAGCGATGGCCTCCAACTTAATAGCGATGGCCTTCACCTAGTAGCGTAGCGTTCTTGTTGCTAATCATGAAAAAATACGATAATGATACTTATATAATACTAATGATACATAAAATGGTCGGTCGCGCCATGTGGGCCACGCCAAACGTGTCCTTCAATAAAAATGTAAGTGTATACATGTCTATGAGATGCTGATTGAAATCTGTGGAACTCGTGACATGACTCGGTAAGCTTCAATCTAGAAATGTCTCAAAGAACTATAGGAGGGAAGAAAGGTGCTGCCACTTTAGCCTTTTAGACTCCAAGAATGACTCCAAGCGGTGCAAACGACCCATGACCAATACAAACAGACCTATGCTACCGATATGAACAATATCAAACAACATAATTATGCCCTTCTTCCCCTAGATCTTATCAATGTAAATATCAATGCCACAGGCTCAGAATCAAGAGTTCCTTCTTTGACATCTCTCGCCCACTGCCCCCCTGGCCCACAGCGTCCCGAACGCTCCGCCCAGCGACGCGCCTTGCACGGCTTTGGCGTAAGAGGACCTCAGTGTTGAAGCAAAAACTGCCTAGCACAGCTCGCTGCCCAACGCCGCCTACACCAGCGTCCAAAATCGGATCTTGTCAAACCACTTGCGCTGGGATCACGTCCGGGAACGAACGGAGGAAGTAGTAGCGGGTGCAGTAATTAGTAGCGTCGCACATCTTCGCATCGCAGCTGGTGGCATCGCATCACTTCTTCTACTTCATGGTAATCACCTGGAATGTTGCTTTTCCAAGTCGATATCCCGAAGCCCTCCAAAGTTGGAGCACCCCACAGTCACGGCACCAACGGCAGCAACTCCGCCACACTTCAAAGCCACAGTCCGTCCGTCGTCCGTCTTTCTTTCCGCGGCGCGCGTTGGCGAAGCGCGAGGCCCCATGATCCCAGCGTGTGTCGTGGTAGGCGGAGAGGATGCGTTGCTCTGGCTGCCGCAGCATCGTCACCAGGTGGCCTAGCTGCAGCATCGCCGACTTGAGGGGAGGTGGTCGTGATATATCCAGCTCATGAGGGGAGGTGGTCGTGATATGTCCAGCTCAACTGAGCTTGACACCATAGGCACAACATGGCAACTCAAGTCAGCAAACACGTCCATGCATGGAAGAACAAAATCAACATGCCACGACATGAATATATACTTCAAACTAAGACTTAACCTAACCACCTGGTAGGAGGTTGCAGGTAAGAGAATTTGGCAATTATACAAAGCATGTCCTAGGTTCATTGGCTAAAGAAGCTTAATATCTGGCATCTCCTACCATCAAGACCAAGCAATCGAAATCAAAGATTGCGGAGGCTCTGGGTGATGACGAGAGATATTTACAAACGCTTAAGCTTTAAGGAGTCCTGATGGCACCCGGACTGAGCAAAGAACTCTTGGCACGGCGAAGGGGGTTCACTTCTGAGAAAACGCTGAGACATTGTGGTCAATTTGCTGTGCAGTGGTCCATGATTACTAGGATTCCAAACAACGTGGATTCATGGCCGCCATTTCTTCATCGAAAACAATGATCAACCTATACCCGCTCGCTCTGGCTTCTTGGATGACTACCCCTCAAGCTCACCGTCACTCACTACAGACGACCATCCAACAGGGCACGGCACGTGAAACTCACGACGCACACATAACGCACACATCCACATCGAGGACACATGAAATACATATACTCACAGTCTACCCAGACACGACTAATGGGACTGGAATGCCGCCCCATTGACCCCCCAAACGTTTCTCGGCAGTCCGGACTGGCAGTCCCAGACAGGTCGTGTCTGGGCTAAGTGGGATGCTCGCTACTTGCGCCTTGGCGACTTGGCTCAAGTCCCGGCTCGCGTCTGGTTGACACCGAAGGTACCACCGCCCGGCCTTTGTAGGTCTCGAAGTTGACACCGAGGCCCTCGTGGGTATTATGTGCAGAGTTGCAGGTGAACTTGCTCTCATCACAAACCTGCAGAGTCAGGGCATTGCTAGTTTGTTGGAGGCCATCACTAATTAGCAGGTTGCAGGCCGTTGTTATTAGGTTGCAGGCCATCGCTAGTAGGTTGGAGGCCATTGCTATTGGGTAACTCATCATTGGCTCACGTTGCCTGACTCCATGGTGTCCTCCTGTGCTCCAAAGATATGACGCCACAAGAACTGAACAGAATGAAGTGAATCACGCACCTCCAAGGGAATTCTCTCTTCTGTGCTTGTTCTAGGTCAACCCTGCCAATGCTGCGTCCATCAGAGAAACCCTCGCCATCATTGGCTTCAAACACATGTGCATCAAAGCTCAACCACTATAGGTTCCTACCCTCGGCAAATCTGGAACTAGACCTGGTCAGGTTTCAACACCAGCACACGGGTGCGCATTGGAGGGAGACCTCCATAGATTCCCTTGAAGAACGACTCTAGACCAGGGTAGAACCTTGGTGGTGAGGGGTTTCCAACGCACATACCAGCACCCGACTCGTCACAGGTCTCCGAAATGGTAACATGTTGCAGACCTTAGAGGAGATCGCAGGTGGTGACCTGGCAGGTTTTCGGGTGCTTATACGCCAACACCGCCGAAGAAGCACTGCTGCCGACCTTGGGGCACTGGTGCCAGAAGCCTCGCTCAAAGGACTTGGACCTCGCGCACGCAGAGCGCGCGCACGCTCTGCGCGCGCGCACGCTCTGCGCGCCCGCACGCTGCGCAAGCTCACGGAGAACGGAAGCTCCCACCAGCGACCCAAGTGATTCGGAGGGAAGCAGGGCTCCGAGAGTTCGAGATGTTCGATCTGCATTTCACGGCCACGGGGTCAACTGCATGTCTGTCTGCATTTCAACCACCTTCGATCGAAGGGAATACGGATGTCCACATCTTTTGATAGAAGCCCGAAGAAGCTTCCCCCTTAGTGTGTGGATTCCCTAGTAAGAGACCAATTGGTCAATGGTTGGGCATGCCAGCTGTTCCAACGGTTCAGCAGTTTGAAACACAAGTCGACCAGAAGTATGACAGAAAATCAGGTTGCTAAAGCGTTCCCTATTCCCAAACAGGGCATCATTAGGACATGATGGCACTGATTCAGGAAGCTTGGTTGGATTTCTGTGGGTAATGATCATGACGCTACAGTGGCCGCAGTTGAGCAACAATTCCAGGAGACTTGTAGACTCTCAAAAAGTCCACAAGATCCTGCGCAAAGAGTTTGCACAACGTGAAGCAAAGTTACCCAAAAGTGCACTACAGTAGATGCTAATTGAAAATGGTTTCATGATGTTTCATGTTCGCAGGCGTCTGGCTTAATTACCAGACACCTTCCCAGCTGAGCAGCAAATAATCCTCGTCCACGCGATAGTCCAAGTCCACTTCAGGACAAACTCCCGGTAGGTGGATGAGAGCGTTCCTGAGGACATCTGCCATCTGGCGGTAAAATCAACAGATCGACCGAACATCAGACCGAGCCACATGACCCAACTCCACCGAGCCACATGAAGGATCCAGTCAGACCATCCAAAGAGATGGGTCACACCCCTTGTGGGAAAGATGGAAAGGAAGGGCCAGTCAAATCGAAAAGGAGCCCAGCACTAGAAAAATTTCCAAGGCTGTGGAACCACAAGATTCTCGTGTAGGACCATTGCGTCTCCCGTTTTGTGGGGACCATTGCAAGGAGATGCAAGGAGGTATAAAGTGCGTTCTACTTTTGATCAGCTCACCCTATATCAAGAGTGCATCAATAATCCTTGTTCCTACTAGCGTTCTTGTTACTACTAGTAAGGCACCTGTTACTAGTAGCGTGGCACTTGTTTCTAAATAAACACAACATGCCCCTCAAAAGTCGAACTTGCAAGTCCCCAGTAGATTCCTTTGCTAGTAATTACAATTCTAATTAAATTCTTATTGTTACTAGTAGTAAGGCACTTGTTCCTAGTAGCTTCTTGTTACTAGTAGTAAGGCACCTGTTACTACTAGTAAGGCACTTGTTACTAGTAGCTTTGTTACTTGCCCCTCAAAAGTCGAACTTGCAAGTCCCCTTGTTTGAGCTGCAGCGCATCTTTTGTCGGTCCAGGACATTCTGTACGACCTGTAAGCTGTCGCCGCGCCACGCTGCCTCTCCCCCTCTGGTGGACCCCGATTCGGAGACAGCTCCGAGTGACAAGAACGACGCGCCGCATTTCGGTATGTGCCTCAGTGTCGGAAGTGGACCCCCGGGCGCCATGAGCCGGATCTGCGGACGCACTGGGGTGGCGGACTGGAAAGAAAGCGGCCGCAGTCCGCGAGCTCGCGACAGGGGCCAGCTACTGCGGCGGACGATGATGGCTTTGCGTGGAGTCGATTAGATTCTCCAACACTTACATCTTGCATGGTTGGGTGATCGCATTTGTGGTGTCGGCCATTGAAGTATAGCTGGGGAGAATAAAGAAAACACACACACCGCCTGGAAGGGAGGATGAGGGTTGGATCGATTTGCCCTTCAGTTCGTGGTTCCACTCACGACTCGACCGGTGGAACCACGGCGCAACTCAACCGGGCACCGCGAAGGCACTTATAGGGTTCCCCGTCTCAGTGATGATCTTCATCTCCCAGTCCCACAACCTATCTGGGACTGCCATATTGGCCGATCTGTTGCTGGGGCCAAAGGGGGGTCGTATTGATTATGTAGGCTTGTAACGCTTATAACTTATAACGCTTTTAACATCTTATAACTTATATTCTATACATGGATGGTCTGGGAAGACCCTGTCACCCTCCACGCCCTCTTCTGGGTCTTAGCTTTGAAAGCCTCCAACTCCCGTGCCAGGCCCAGCAGCAAGAACTTCAAGGGCTCGGCCCTACGAAGCAACTCCGTGCCAGGCTCAGTGTCCAAGCTCAGCTGCAGCTGGAGAAGCCAAGGATCGGTGCCTGATCCAACATGTACAGACTTAAGGGGTGAAACCTGCCTGTTGTTGGAGGAACACCAAGGCGAACACATGGAAACACACGGCAAAACAAAGAAACAAACTTCCAGGACCCCCTATATATAGGGTTTTCTATGCTCCTTAGAGGTGATTCGGGGTGTCCATCCACCACCCGTTGTGGGTCCTGGTTCTTTCCCTTTTCGATGCATGAGATTTGGCTTCAGCTGATGCCCGTTCCCACCCAGCAGGTTGGCGCTTCCTCGCGCCTGCACACGTCTCGACGTTTCCAGCCGCGCCGGCGAAGCCTGCACCGGATACACAACATGCGGCACTACGCTGCTCTGAGTGAGGTGGAGAGACGGTGTTCCGAAGAGTTACTTACAGTATATACGTCCTTCTGAATCTCTGTTCTTCCATTGTCTTCCCAGAAACAACACTAGGTCATACCCCGGGGGGGGTCCTATTTAAAAACTCCAACAATGATCGAGAAACATGCAAAACGTACATTGGCCCCTGGTCTGTTGGGGGAGGTTTTCTTAGCTGCCGTTGGCCTCGGACCACTCAAGGCTTTCCACTGAGGGAAGGTCCTCTTGAGTCCCACTACTCCACTTGCTTCAACTCAAAACTTGCATGTTCTTCAGGAAATGAAGGCCTGGTTCCTTGATGTTCCTTGCAGTTCCTTCCAGTTCGTTTCCAGACTCAGTTTCCCCGCAGATTTGAGGAGTTTTCTGCATGGTTTCCTGACTCTCTCACGCGACATGAGTGGTTCCCCCTTCGAGTGGTCAGGCCAATGTGGTGAAGAAAGGCCAGTGCCCGCGTCCGAAGGGACGGAGAGCCAGAGCTCTCTAGAGGGCTCAGAGTTGGATGTTGAGGTCTTCTTGCAAAAGGGCATCGCGACTCGAACGGAACAAGCACGCTACGAACGTGGCTCCTGGCCTTACTACTAGGAAAAAGAAGCTACTGGGAGCAAGGGCATCGCTACTAGTATCAAAGAAGGGCATTACTACTAGCATTCTTGCTATTAGTAACAAGAAGCTACTATTGGGAGCTGTGGAATTTGATGGAATTTTGCACTCCTCAGATCCGTCCCACCTGCAATCAGCCAGCGATACATGCCAGCTTCCCGCTCAGCTGGCTCAGCCCCGCCATGGGGCCATCGAGATCGGTGTGGAGACCATTTGTGCTACCGATGGGTTGATCTGGACTCCTACACGATAAGTCAAGTGTTGATGGTGTGAGACGTCTGCAACATTGAACTTCTGCCAGATGTCTCTTCGAACAAACCGCCTTAACCTTGGTCCGATCGGCCTGCCCATCGCATGTGTTTTGGGATCTACAAACCCATCACTTTCCGCTTCTCTTCGGTGCCGCTTCTCTTCGGTGAATCGGTGCTTCGGTCGGTTCGGTCCTCGCTCGATCCGCCGAGCGTGGTCTGCGCATTGAGGACTGGACATGCAAAAATGTCTAGGTTATGGCTACATAAGGTGTGCTAAACAAGTGCCCGGCTTCCCACTTTGATCATCTGTGATCATCTGGGATGTTTGGACTATTGTTTCAGGAAGATCCTTGCCTGTAACCCCAGGTGGTGGATAAAACTTGTTGTGAGGCTTGCGATTTCTTCAACTGGTGCTGCAGGAATTGTTCCTTCAGTCGAATCCTACCAAAGCACTATAGAGCTATTTAATAGCAAGTTACCTGCAATCCCAAGAATTAGTTGGTCGGCAACACATGCCACAATATGCAGCCTCATATAGCCTGATCAAACTCCACCTCCACCATAATTCTTTTTGGACACTCACGCCGGAATGGTATTTTTTGATTTTTTGTGGCACAGCCTACGCGCACCACCGAGTGGCTGTGCTTTAAAGCACTTTTGCAAACGCACTCCGAACAGTCTTGTTACGGAGGCGTACCGTGGAAAACACGTTGCTCGGCGAGCTCGACGGTCGACCATGGTCGTGGTCAAGCAAGCAAAGGTTCTTGGGATGACATGTTCGGTGTAGTGCACACAATTTCACAGGACATGACACTCGACACCCTGCAGAAATGAATTGCTGACCCTCTGGGAGACTTGTACGACACCCTGCAGGTGCGTCACTTGGTCCCGAAAAATGCCCGAAGCCTCCCGAAGCCACCCGTGCTTCACTCGGTCGGCCGAGGTTCCCGCTCGATCCGACTGAGCGACGTTCAGGACCCCCAGCTTTGCAAGCTTTGCGGCATCTGGGCGGTTTTGGGAGGAACCCCCTGGGCAGCATTGTGACATTCCTGCCACAAAGGAACCCCCTCAGGAGCAGCCCTCAGTTCCAGGAGCTGGTGCACGCCTCAAGGAAGGGAGGGCGAGGGCGAGGGAGGGAGGGCGAGGGCGAGTTTGAGAGGAAAGAATCCCTCATGTATGAGGGGTCAAAAATGTGTGTAGGCATAAACAACCTATCTTTATGATATGTAATACGATATGTATGTATACCGCGTATGAGTTAATAAATATTGTAACCTAGAGATCATACACACATGGAGAAGCGGTTTCAAAAAGCATGGTCCTGTTGACATTTGAGTGAGGGATTCTTTCTTGAGGATCGCCATCACCTGAAGGGTGATAAGTTAGCACCTCTGGCAGAAAGAAGGCAAACACAAGCAGCAGGGGTGCTGGACGCACATTCTTGTCATTCTCCACTCACTTAGGGACAGAAAAACAGAATCTCCGCGCCGACTCCAGGGGCAGGTCATGCGTCACTATATGATACGTCTATTGAAAGCTGGGTATGGTTTATCGACTGGGTTCTAGTTATTCTGGGATGGTAGGAGCCATGGGCCATGCTGGAGGGATGCTACGTCTGACGCCTGGTGGATCTGGACCCTTCCTGCTGCATTCCACCTGGTAAGGGGAGCATCTTCCCATCCAGAGGGGAGCAAACAAGGATGTCCACTGATGTTCTCTGGCCCTGCACAACAACACTCGGGAGTCGAAAAATTCCACGGCGTATTCCTGCAAGGCCTTTATTCAACAACAAACGAACAGTAAATATTATATACACCAGGAGTCACAAAGGGGTGGTGTTTAGTCCCTAAATGAGTGGATCATGGACACCCCTAACCTCCATTAAGCACCCCTTTGTACCACTTCATCTTCCCTATGTATAGCCCCTGCTTCTGGTCGATGGGCTGAAAATTCGGGCTCCAAAACCGCCTGTGTCTACCTCTGTGGGCCGGTGACACAAAACACATACCTCTGTCATTCTGTCTGCCTCTGTGGGCCTTTGTCTACCTCTGTGGGCTGGTTCCACCAGGGTTGGGAGACGAGCCCACTCCTCTTGGATCTCTCGGCTCTCTTCATGCCGTGCGCATGACCGGGACGCGCGCGAGGAGGGGGATCTGGAGCCACCGAGACTGGGCCGAGACACCATCGATGGTGCACACCACCCCAAGGAGCAAGACCCAGCTGATCAAAAGCAGCAAAGGTCGATCCTCACTGGTCCAGTGCCCTCGGCACTGGACCAAGGCGATGAAACCGCGAACATGGTGGAGAATCAGGTGGAACGTGAGGTCAACGAACCCCCCGGATCCAATGGAAAGCTGCCCCTTCAAACGAGAAATCCAGAATGGATCATAGAGCCACCATAGACAGTTTCAAGAACATCATGTAGTAGACTCTTGATTAATAACCCCCCATCTGGGGATTCTAAACCGATGGCAGGAAAAAAACGGACCCGGCATAAGCACTCCAGTCTGTTTGGCCTCCCAAAATATCCACCATTTGGGAGGTGGGATAAAGGTTCATGGGATCAGATTAGCCTTCCGATCCACGAGCATACTAGGAGGTGTTTCGGCAAGGCGGGCTGTCCTGGGTTTTAGATGATCCTAGAATGTGTGAAAGCTTTGAGGATGACATCTTGATTCAGGTCTCCAAAATGCAGGTCTCCAAACATGATGCCACATCAAACTCATAGAACAAACCTCGAGCATGGTTTCCAAGGTTCCATGCAAAATCATGCCTTTGAAACATACAACCTGCCTATGGATTCCATGCAACTTTCCTGACGCATCTTGACGCCCTACTAGGCTTCGTGCTCCATGATGCTGATGCTGCTTCATACCATACTGGATCGGATCCAAGGCTAGGGTGGAGGCCATCGCTACTGGGTGGAGGCCATTGCTACCGGGGTGAGGCCATCCCTACTAGATGGCACGGTCATCCTGTCAGAAGACAGGACACAATGAGCAGAACGACCGTCTCTTCGAAAGAGTCGACTTGGAGTGGTGAGAAGCCTCTTCAACTTCTGACCAAAGCTCCCAGCCCCCCAGCTTCGCGGCGTGGCAGAAGCACGCAGTAGACCAAGACCAAGGCAGGCAGCACAATGCTGATCCAAACTCCACACGTACAGGTGAGCGCCACCTGCAACCGGGTCAGTCACGGTCGGTCCATGTCGGTCAATCCCGGTAGCAAAAACGGTCAAACATGCGCGGTGACGCCGAGGTCAGGGCGGGGATGGCCTCACACAAACCTTTCAGATAGAACACCGGAAGAACAATGGAGAACAGAAGCTCCGAACGAAACTGGGTCACTCCTTGCCCTCCTTGCCCTCCTGGTTCGAGGTCCCGTCCTGAAAGTTGTTGAAGGCATTCCAGCCCACGACCGCAGGAATCAAGCTGGAGGACAAGGTAAACCAAAGGTTCAACCCGAAGCGGATCGGAAGCTTCGCTGTCCCCAACGGCCTGTCCGCGAAGCCGAACGCGGTCCGGGTGCGCAAAACGAATGGGGTCCTTGCAACGGAGGGAAGTTGGTGATCTGGGTGATTGGATGTGTTTTCCGGGAAGGTGCCCATGTACCGTTCAAACAGAAGCTATATAGCTGCAATTTCTTCTATAATAGGTAACTACCGTAGATGGACGAAATATTCAAACATATTCAAACCCTTCCAACCACGTGGACCCCTTCTACCCCAAAGCTCAATGTTAGAGATCTTGTAGGAGTGCTTCGCCGAATGGAGGAAACAAATCAAACCCTGGAAACACAAAATTCAATCAAGTCATGTTCAACATTGACCTTTGGGGGTCAGGGGTTGACCAAAGTTATTGATACAGGGGTTTGAATATTTGGTCCATCTACTGCAGTATATCATCCAGAAAGATCAAACAAAGATAAACAAGCCAGGAGTCACAAAGGGGTGGCTTTTAGTCCTTAAGTGAGTAGATAATGGGCACCCTTATCCTCTAATAGGCACTGCACTGCTGGAGAAGTGCTCTCCCTCAAACCTCGCTACTCCTCAGTAAGTCCAGGACGCTGGTGACTCGAGTCTAACAATAAACGACCCCTACTCGATCGTGGAGTTTGAGGTTTTGAACGGGGAAGCGCAGCTTGCAGCTTAATGCTTTTGGATACAAGCCATCGGTGCGAATCGGCAAGCCATCCATGAACTTGATTGAAGTATTTTATACCTGGTTCTTCAAAGTGACCCAACTTGATATCCTGGTTTGAGGTCACAAGTTGGCAATGAAGATGTGATAGAAATCTGTCAGTCCGAGATGCAATAGGCAAAAGTTCCTTGAACACACCAATGCCCTTATAGTGAGCTCGTGTGCAATTTTTGCCGGCCACATGGTTGATTATGGAAGTGGATGGCGCGGCTGCTTGGAAGACTACTGCCTTTCGAAAACAAGGGGTTTTCCTAGTTTTCCATGTTAAGTTATGTTAAGTTAGTGAGTCAAAGTGAAAGACCATTCGAGGAGAGTTCCACCCGTAACCCAGCAATAAGCATGATCTCCGCTTGCAAAGTGGGGGAGAAATCCCGCCTCTCTTCGCCGGTCGCCGCTGCCATGAAACCCCAAACTTGCGATTTGCAGGGCAACAGAACCAGTGGCAATTCCAAGATCATCACGACCGCCATGCCGCCCTGCAAAATGCTGGTGAGAACGTCTGGATACCTGATGCTGGTGAAAACGAAAGAGAAGCGTCTCGTCCAGACGACACGACACGATCAATCTCCACAATCTCTGCATTGTTTCAAATCAAAGACACCAACATGAACTCCACATGGTCGCGACATTTCTTCACCACCATCTTCTAGGACCTTTCGAGGGCCCCCCATGACTGGTCCCTGAATCACATGGAACGAGAAC